CGCCTGTCGGGGCCTGGGTTTCACGCTCCCACACCGGCAGTGGGCCGTGAGCTGAGGGCCCGGGACGCTGTGGGCGCCGAATCTCACCCGCGGCCACGGCCGGAGCCGGGGGTGATTTTCAACGAGCGCCGCGTGTGCGCGGGGAGGAGCCCGAGCCGCCACGCCGGAAAGACTTACCTGGACAGCGGGAGCCCCGAGCACCGGCGCGGCCGCCGCGCTCGCCTTTATAGGAGATGCCGCGCCGCCGCGGCGGGCGCAGGCGCGCAGGCGCACGCAGAGCGCGGAGGGCGGGGCCCTGCCACGCACAGCCAATCGCAGAAGCCAGCGGGCTTCGGGCGTGGGGGAGTGTGGGAGCGCGACGGGCGGGATCTCGCGGTATTTGGCGCGGTATAAATACGCCCTCCGCGGGGGCCTCGCTCTTCTTCTCCTTCTCCGGGAAAACACGTGAGTGTCCCCGGGCGGCGGCGGCGGCGGCGGCCTGGCCCGCGCGAATCCGCGGACATCCGGCCGGGGAGGGGTCGGGACGGCGCTGACGGACGGGTTTTTGTTCTCCAATAGCAAATGGCGGACGACGCCGGTGCAGCGGGAGGGCCCGGAGGGCCCGGGGGCCCGGGCTTGGGAGGCCGCGGCGGCTTCCGTGGGGGCTTCGGTAGCGGCCTCCGGGGCCGAGGTCGCGGCCGTGGGAGAGGCCGGGGTCGCGGACGCGCTGCTCGTGGAGGCAAGGCCGAAGACAAGGAAGTAAGTCGTGGCCGCGGGGCTCGGGGGGTGCGCTCCTCCCCGCGCGTCGCGCGGTGTCCCCCCCGGGCCCGCACTGACCCCCCGCGTGTCTCCCCCCGGAGCCCGCGCTGACCCTCCGCGCTCCTTCACGCGCGTCGCGCGGTGTCCCCCCCGGGCCCGCGCTGACCCCCCGCGTGTCGTCCCCCCGGGCCCGCGCTGACCCCCCGCGCTCCTCCCCGCGTGTCGTGCGGTGTCCCCCGGGCCCGCGCTGACCCCCCGCGCTCCTCCTCGCAGTGGATCCCCGTCACCAAACTGGGCCGCCTGGTTAAGGACATGAAGATCAAGTCTCTGGAAGAGATCTACCTTTTCTCCCTGCCCATCAAGGTACCACAGCGGCCAGCCAGTCCCCGGGAGCAACGTTTGGGTACAAGCAGTAGGACTGCCTCAGTCACAGGGGCCAACTAGGGCCGGGCCCAGGTCCGGGTTGTCTCTTGGGTGTGGGCATTCGTGTACCGACAGCACTGGCAAGAGGAATTCACTGGAGGCAGTTGCTCCTGCTCAACTAGCAATCGGGTTGTGAGCGGGCACGCCGCCACTTTATGCTGAAAATGTCCTTTATTGCAGGAGTCTGAGATTATTGACTTCTTCTTGGGGGCGTCGCTCAAAGATGAGGTGTTGAAGATTATGCCTGTGCAGAAGCAGACTCGAGCTGGCCAGCGCACCAGGTTCAAGGTATCTGCCACCTGCCTGAAGGGCTGGGTGAGACTCTCTCATTCTGCATGGTCACACTAAGCCTCATCCGTGTGACTTTCGTACAGGGAGAGATAGAAAAGAGCTCCTCAGGACTCTGGGGTGGCCTGCCTGTGGCCTCTCTTTCCTGTTGGAGCACAACAGGTTCCACTGGGAGTCCTTTACCACGGAGGACCGTGGGTCACCTCATCTGTCTCTTTTCAGGCATTTGTAGCCATTGGCGACTACAACGGCCACGTTGGTCTGGGGGTTAAGTGCTCCAAGGAGGTGGCCACGGCCATCCGGGGAGCCATCATCTTGGCCAAGCTCTCCATCGTCCCTGTGCGGCGAGGTTACTGGGGGAACAAGATCGGCAAGCCTCACACTGTCCCGTGCAAGGTAGGCTGAGTGGTACGTGATGGGACCTCCTTTAGTCTCCCTCCACGCCTGTCTTACAATTCCTGCTTCCCCCAGGTGACAGGCCGCTGCGGTTCTGTGCTGGTGCGCCTCATTCCTGCCCCCAGAGGCACTGGGATTGTGTCAGCTCCTGTTCCCAAGAAGCTGCTGATGATGGCTGGAATTGATGACTGCTACACCTCAGCCAGGGGCTGTACTGCTACCTTGGGCAACTTCGGTAGGTTTCACGCTAACAGCCAAGTTCTTAGCTCCGCTGGATCACACAGCCTAAACTGGTCTTTAGTCTGGTGGTAGGGTTGGTCTCATCATTTCCCATTTTCTCTAGCCAAAGCCACCTTTGATGCCATCTCTAAGACCTACAGTTATCTGACCCCTGATCTCTGGAAAGAGACTGTATTCACCAAATCTCCTTATCAGGTACTGCCTGTTGGGTTTTTGAGCTGCCTTTGGCTTAGCTACAGTCCAGTTGTCACCATGGCTCTCCCTGATGGTGTGTGGCAACAAAGTTCTGTTTGTCTTTTTAGGAATTCACTGACCATCTTGTGAAAACCCACACCAGAGTCTCTGTGCAGAGGACCCAAGCTCCAGCTGTGGCTACAACATAGAATTTTATACAAAAACAATAAAAGTGATCAAGCCTGTTAACCTGTCTTTGTGGTTTGAATCTGGGGTTGATAAGAGGATGCCAGAAACCCAGGCCAGTTGTGTCACCTCATTTATTTAGCAATTCAAGAAGACGCAGTGGAGATTACCGCTTCTCGGCATCCTCAGGCGGCTGCAGCCTTTTTGGCTGCCTTTCTCTCTTCCAGCATCCTCTGCTTCTGCTTTGCCAAGCACTTCCGGGCAGAGTAATTGGCCCCCAGGTCAAAATCTGGAAATGAGTAGAGAAAGAATGGATTCAAATCAGTGCAATTAGAAGGTACCTACTAAACTTTCTTTGGTTAGAAGCTAAAGGAACTGATGGCAGCTTTTACTCAATGAGTCACTGGTGGGCAACAAGGCTTACATCGGTCCTGGTAGGCCTTGGCCACCTGGGTGAACTGCTCCAGTTCCTTGGCACAGTTCTGCTTGTGGCTCTCTCCTTCCCTCTGTTGGCAGGCTTTAAGTCGCTCCTGGATAATGTTGACAATTTCTTGGTCAACTTTGCTGTTAAAAAGAAAACAAAGGGGGGGCTGGGAAGGTGGCTCAGTGGTAGAGCGCTTGCCTTGCATGCCTGAGGCTCTGGGTTCGATTCCTCAGCACCACATAAGAAAAAAGCAGGAAGTGGCACTGTGGCTCAAGTGGTAGAGTGCTAGCCTTGAGCTGAAGAGCTGAGGGACAGCGCCCAGGCCAGAGTTCAGGCCCCACGACCGGACCCCCCCCCAAAAAAAAAAATGGGGCTGGAAAGGTGGCTTAAGCATGCATGCAGCCCTGGATTCGATGCCTCAGCACCCCATACACAGAAAAGGCCAGAATCTGCTGTGGCTTAAGTGGTAGAGTGTCAGCCTTGAGCAAAAGCCGCTCAGACAAGGCCCAGGTCCTGAGTTCAAGCCCCAGGACTGGCAAAAAACGCTCTGAAGGACAGGGTGAGACGGATTGGACCTGCCTCACACTTAGGAACTAGTGGATGGAGGTAGGCCGGGCAGGTCACTTACTAGTCCCTTCTCCACTGCATCTCGGCTTCGTACATGCACAGGGCGTCCTTCTCCTGGCACTCGGTGAGGTCGGGCACGCGCCGGTACTGCCGGTGGTAGTAGTACTGCTTGTTCTTGTCTTGCTGCTGCTCTATAAATTCTGCACGCAAGGAGCAAACCCGGCTGAGCTGACTGCGGAGCCTCGTAGCCAGCAGCTTCACCCGCAGCGGGCACGGGGGAGGCACAGGGGGGAGGGGGGCGC